GTTTTTTATTTTTAAGGAGCAGAAGAAAAGCAAGAGGAGGGATATAGAGAGGCATGTGACAGTGTGGGATCCAAACCCATTGGGATTTAATTTCATTGTTGGTCCTCACCAAGACACCATGGTCCCTCTTCTATCTTTCATTACTTATTATCATATATAGGAAAAAATATCAGTGTAGTAACTAAATTTCATGATTACGTACGCAGAGGTATATAAATATGTACTATAAGTACAAATTATATGTACTCCTTAATCTATTTGGTTAACTAAGCATACATCTAATTTAATTACCTCTAGTTATGATAACTTTTGTTGATTAATCTTCAAACACGTACGACCATATTTAAATATATTTAATTAACCAAGTTAATTAGCTAGATTTTAACTAATCAAATTAGTAACAGCCAACGTAAAATCTAAAGTGGACAAAGATGAATACAATGAGAATTAATCCATTTGTTTCACACCAGACTAGAATCAAGAACTGTTAAAACTTTATCTTTTTAATGTAACTAGATCCTTAAAACCTAAAATAGACTAATCACGCGATTTGCAACTACCACATAAACTTTAAAATATATTTATTTAGGTAGCAGGATTTTTTTAGGAGCTAAGGGTAGACAAATTGCCAATATTCACAACTGTCATGTGATGAACTCCCCAATAACCGAAAATGCAACCAATACAGATAAATCTAATTGTCTTGACCAACAAACAAAACAGTTTAATTACAACCATTTGGTTACAAAATATCTATTTGAGAGAGCACATTGTAACAAATGTATGTACTTAAAAAACTCCAAAAAACTGAGTAAGATTCGCCTTGACTCTTGTCTGCAAGTGACCGTATATGTTTTTGACCATGTTCGATAGTTATATGCTTATAGACAATGGGCATTTATTAGATCTTTGTTTCTGGTCGTAAAAGGTTAGAGACAAAGAACATGTTAAGTCTCACGATCTCGAGCTTCCATCTTTGTTAATTTGTGATGTTCCTCTTCCTAATCCATTGCCCCGGCTATAATGAAGATTAAAGATAAAATAATAATAAGGTCAATAGATAGATAAGGATTTTGTGGGAATTAATTGAGGAGCTATTTCTCTAAATAAATAATATGATATTTTTATTTTATTTTAAACATGTTAGCTATAGTCAATTTTGGTGTTATTTAATAAATAAAATAGTACATACTTTTTTGTTTTTGAAAAACAGAAAAAGTTCAAAAACAAAAAAGTTCATAGTCATTTACCTAGCTAATTTAATAAATGTTCATGGTCATTTGGTGCAATTTTCTTATAATATATATTGTTCTGTTTAAGCAACGGATGTTTTGAAAACCCTAGAATCAAATAATCAACGTTAGTGACTTGTTTCGCACGTAACTCCAAACTTTTCAACTCTTCAAAGGTTAAACTTTGATCTCGAGTTGATTCTTGTGAGTTGCGTCCTAAATCTATCACATCAGCCAAACAAGTGAATCAGAATCATAGAAATG